TCAGAAAATTATGCAGCAATAGCAGAAAACTATATGTTTAATCGTTCTCTCCCATTTTTCTTTTATTAATCGTCATCCCGCGTTACAGTCAACGGATCTTGTGAGGACGCGTGCCTTCATCTAGGGTGTCCTTAGGTCCTCGCCGCTGCGGCCCGTCATGTGCCGTTTTCACGGGTCGCCCGCCGCCCAACAAAGCCCAACTTCCGCCTCCAAGGGTCTTGCGCCCTCACCACCCCTCCTTAACACGCTTCGACTGCATGAAAGAGCAAGAGGAACGTCATGGGATCGGCGCAAGGGCTCGGCGCTGGGCCTCCCATCCCTGGCGCGCGGAGCGCCGACAGCTCATGTTTACGCAGTTTGTTTGTTCTTCTATCGCCCACCTCCCTCTCAAGCGCAGATGCACGCTGAATGGATTCATGCCGGGCCCTTCGTAATTCGATGGACCCTCGACGAGCGGTGCAGTGAAGCGAGCTACACGGGGCGTAAAAAAGGTAGGCGCTTGTTGGTTGGCGGATGCGCCCTCCTTCTTCCGAGGAACAGGCAACTGCATATGTGAAAGAGCGTGTTCTACCGCTGCTGGCGGAAAACCGGGGGGGGGGTCACTACCGGTTCGACCCCCCCCCTTCCCCTTGGGAAAACCCGGGGGGTCACTACCGGTTCGAACCCCCCCCCCTCCAGTCCATCATGAAAAGGAGGGGAGGTCACTACCGGTTCGAACCCCCCGGGGGCCCCCCCTCGAAAACCCGGGGGGGTCACTACCGGTTCGAACCCCCCCCCCCCTCGAAAAAAACCGGGGGGGGGGGTGCGGACGGTGGTGGGGACGGTGGTGGTGGGGACAGCGGTGAGGGGACAGCGGGACAGTGGTGGGGACAGTAGGACAGAGGTGGGGACGGTAGTGGTGGGGGCAGTGGTGAAGGCGGTGGTGAGGACAGTGGTGGGACAGTAGCACGGTGGGGAAAGTGGTGGGGACAGTGGGGACAGTGGGAGAGTGATGGGGACAGTGGGAACGCTGGGACAGCACAGTGGGACAGCGGCGGGGACAGTGGGACAGTAGTGGGTACAGTGGGGACAGTGGGACAGTGGTGGGGACCGTGGGGAAAGTGGGGAGAGCGGGACCGTGGTGGGTGAATGGTGGGGAGAGTGGGGACATTGACACATTGGCGGGGACAATGGTGGGAACAGTGGGGACAGTGGGACAGTGGTGGGGACGGTGGTGGTGGGGACAGTGGTGTGGGGACAGTGGGAATGTAGTGGAAACAGTGAGACAGTGGAGGGTACAGTGGTGGTGGGGACAGTGGTGAGGGCGGTGGCCAGGACGGCGGTGGGACAATGGGACAAAGGTACAGTGGGGACAGTTGTGGGGACAGTGGTGGGAACAGTGGGACAGCTCAGTGGGACATCTCAGTGGGACAGCGGAGGAGACAGTGGGACAGTGGGGACAGTGGGGATAGTCGGGCAGTGGTTGGGGCCGTGGATAAAGTGGGGAGAGTGGAACCGTGGTGGGAACAGTGGTGGGGACAGTGGGGACAGCTTGACAGTGGTGGGGGCACTGGTGGGAAAAGTAGGGACGGTGGTTGCACCACTGGGGACAATGGTGGTGAGGACAGTGGCGCTGGGAACAGCAATGGGGGATGTGGTGCGGACGGTGGTAGGGACCAGGAGTCGTTTGCTGGCGGTGAGGGGGGGGGAGGGGTTCGAACCGGTAGTGACCCTCTCTGGTTTTCGAGGAAGGGGGGGGTCGAACCGGTAGTGACCGTCCCCGTTTTTCCGAGGGGGGGGGGGGGGGTAGAACCGGTAGTGACCCCCCCGGTTTTCTGGAGAGGGGGGGGTCGAACCGGTAGTGACCTTCCTCTGGTTCTGGGGGGGGGGTTCGAACCAGTAGTGACCCCCCCAGTTTTCCAGGGGGGGGTTTCGAACCGGTAGTGACCCCCCCCCCAGTTTTTTGGAGGGGGGGGGGTATAAGGGAGGGGGGGGGGGGGTTGCCGGGGGAAGGGGGGGGAGGGTCCAGCAGGGGGGGGGGGGATTTTCGGAGGAGGGGGGTAACCCCGGGTTCTGGAGGAAGAGGGGGGGAATTTTCCATAGTAAAGCGGCGGTGGATCACGCTCTCTCGCATATGTACACACAAACTGTTGATGCGGATTTTTTGTTGGATCGGTGGCGGCGCCTCCCCTGGCGCGCCCCGCGCGCCAGGGAGTGGGGCTCCAGCGTTAGGTCGGGCGTGTCCCCCTACAGCCTGATTTTTGGAAGAAAAGTTTAAACTGACAATGTTCAACACATGCACAAGAAATCATCATATCATCCTCGACTATTGTTATCGTTTTTGGATGGCCCTCTTGTGTAGGGACACGCCCGACTTAGCTCCAGCGCAGATCCGCGCGGAGTTCCCACAGCTCCTGTTTGCGCCGCACGTTCTTCCTCAAGCCCTGGCTCCCTCGCGGCCGGGGCGTGGCCCCTCCGAACCCGATTTGCACCCGCATCCGCTCCCTGTAAGATTAAGTTGGGCCTGTCCCTCGACAGGAAGAGAACCCAAAAAGTGTCAACAAATAGTACAGGGACGATTTCCTTACTATTTCTGACCTTTTCCTTATATATATATATATATATATATATATATATAGATATGCATTTTTTATATATATATAATATATATATATATATACATATATATATATATATATGTATTACTATTCTTTATTTTGTGTCACAAATCCGCCTGTAGGGGGACACGCCCGTGTTCGCACAGCGTCGGGCCCCGGGACCCCCACGGATGAATGCGGCTCGAGAGATGCAGCAGAAAGACAGACTCGAGGGCTCCAGGTGTGTTTTTTCCATGATGGTGCAGTTTCATCGGCGTCGGATCTCAGGGCCCCCCCTGCCCCCTCCCAGGAGGAGCGACGGAGGAGGTGGACCTGCACAGCTGTTCGCCCGCCATCCTGGAGCGCCACGCCCCGGGACCCTGACGGATCGCTCAGTCTCGAGAAATGCTTTGGACGCCCGAAATGGGTACGGAAAAAATGGGTACAATGCCCAACAACAAATGTTGTCCCAAAACAACAGCGGCCGCTGTTGGGCAGGCGGCCTTCTGTCTCGAATGGACACAGGCCGCGGCGGCGTGGACAGCGAGTCCTGTTCAAAATGAACAGGAATTGCTGTTGGGCGTTGTACCCATTCTTTCCGTACCCATGTCGGGCGTCCAAAAATGCCGCAGAAAGATGGGGCGGAGAGTTCTTGCTGTGCTGCTCCACGATGTTGCATTGCATCGGCGTCGGATCGGACGGTTCCCCCTACCCTCGTAACTGGCGGGGCGGGCGCGAGGAGGCCTCCTGTTAAGATAGTCAAGGTCCAGAAATAGTTCGAGGCCAATACCTTTACAAAATGCACGTTCAACGTTGCTGTAATCTTGAAGTTCGGCGGTGGATAAGTTTTGAACATCCGTGGAGCGTTTGTATGTTTCGTGGCCTTCCGAATTGGTTTCGACCGGTTTCCAATGTTTTTCCAAATGTTTTTCCAACCTTCCCATTTGGGATCGAACCTGCTCTAAACTCCATCCTATTTGGGATCGAACCTGCTCTAAACTTCTTCAAATTTTCACACACTCTGTCAACACGTTCGAACTTGTTTCGAACTCTCCCTGAACGTTTGAGCATTGTTTCGAACTCTTGCTTTCCTTTGTTTGCGACCTCGAACTTCTAACTTGCCCTCCGCCCGAGCCCAAGCCCGAACTGCTTTTCTTTTCCAGGAATGACCGCCCGTACCCCCCTCGGCCAATGACAACTCTGCCCCCCCCCCCCCAGAAGGAGAGTGTTTTTGGCTTCCGGGCGATAGCGGGCGTTACACGGGGGGGGGGAGCGGGGGAGGGTCCGGTATGTTCACGTTTCGCGCCGGCGCCGTCTGGGAACGTCCAGGAAAAATCAGAGACAGTTCGGAGGTCACCACGAGTCGTGACGTTATTTGGGGGGAAGGGGAGCGGCCTGGGCCAGTAACGGCCGTTGTCGAGGAGAAACGCGAACACGCTCTCGAGGAGGCCGAGAGTGGAGGCGGGCCTGGACAGGAGTGGGCCCAAACGGTGTTTGGGGGATTTCGTGGAGGCCGTTTTCGTTTCGACGTCGTTTTGCAGCACAGGCGGACGGAAGGCAAAGCGAGGGACAAGGAACGAGCACAGAACGAAAACGAGCATTACACGGTTTGGGTCGAGCCTTGGACACATACAATCGCTCGCTCCCCTTTACCACGGCGCCCGCACGCCGCGTCGTGCTCCAGTTCGCCTCGGGCCACCAGCGTCGTCTGGCATGACCCTGCCTCCGACCATTCTTTGTTGATCATTTGTTGGTGCGGGCGGCGGTGGTGGAGAGTGTTTTTTGTTACCCTCTCGGCCGATCAGGCGCGTTATGCCCCCTACTTACCCTCCCCCCCTGAACCCCCCAAAACGTAGCGCTCCCCCCCATCACTGCGCCCCCGGCACTGCCGCAGTGCTTCCTCACCAGAATCTGGGGGGGGGGGGGGGCGCTACGTTGTACCCATCCTGCTCCCCCCCCCCCCCCGTAACGTCCGTTTGGGGCCCCCCACACTTCTGCGGCACTGCCCGAGCCGCATCGATCTGTGATGGTCCTGGGGCCCAGCGCCCTGCGCCCTGCGAACACGCCCGTGGCGAAAAAAAGGCGACGCCCAGATCTGAGGGTGGGGGAGGGTCGGACGGGGCTAGGCCGAGGACAAATCCGTTCCACAGCCTTGCGGAACGCTCTCGGGGCGCTCCGGCATGCTCTGAGAGGGCCGCGGCGCGCGAGACATCCTCCAGAGCCGCGGGATCTCACATATTCTAAGTCGGTCACGTCCCGCTACAGGAGGAAGGTTCAAAGATAGTCACAACATAGTTTGGGGAGGTTGTTTGAGTTCTGAGTACTTTTGATCCATACATTTTTATTGTGTATGTTTTGAGTTTTGAATTGTTTCCTCCAAAACCCGCCTGTAGGGGGACATGCCCGACCTAACACATGTTCTCGATGTATACTCGCTCAACTCTGTCCTCGGCGCCTGGCATCGTCGTGCGGGACGAGGGCGACGAGGAGGCAGAGGCGAGGACGGGGCGAGCGCTCTGGAATGCTCTGAGAGGGCCGCGGCGCACGAGACATCCTCCAGAGCCGTAGGATCTCACAGATTCTCGATGGATCCTCGCCCAGATTTTGTCCTCGGCCTGGCTTCGTCGCAGGCGGGAGAGGAGGGAGGAGGGGGAGAAGGAGGAGGAGGAGGAGGAGGAGGAGGAGGAGGAGGGGGATGAGGAGGAGGAGGAGGAGGAGGAGGAGAAGGAGGAGGCAGAGGCGACGACGCGGCACGGCCGCGGCAGAAGGCGCCCCCCCCTGGGAGCGGGAGGGGCTCGTCATCGGGGGCGCGGCGGCGGGGCTGGCCGCGAAGTCGGACACGAACACGGGCGACCGGCTCAGAGGCAGGCGTCCCGGGGTCGATCGGGCCTCCTAGGTTTAAGTCGGGCGCGTCCCCCCGGCAGGAGGAGTATACAAGAATATCGGGAGCCTTGAGACGGGGGTCAATGCAAACGGGGGTCAGCCAGGGCGCCAGATCCTGCAGGATCCTGCGAAGGCACCTTCTGGCTGACCCGGGTTAGCGAGCCGCTTGTGGCCGCGAGGCGGCCGCGCATATTGGCTGACCCAGGTTTGCGAAGACTTGCGTTGCAGTTTTTTTCCTGCATTGCAGTTTTTTGGTTTCCTGCTGACCCGGGTCTGCATTGACCCGGGTCAGAAGATCCCCGAGAATAGGCAGCAAAATGGTCTGGGGACGATTTCCGACGATGTTTGATGTTTGATTCTGCTTCCCTACGTCTTGCCTATCACCATTGGTCCTTACAGCCCGCATGTCGGAGGACACGCTCGACCTAATCCCAGATGGGGTCGGAGCAGGTGGGGCTGGAGGATCGCGCCGCACCGCCGAGGCATCGCCGATGCGGCTCGATATGAAGCCCGATTGGCTTGACGTCGACGTCGCTGGTACATCGCCGACGTCGACGATGCATTGCTGGTCAACCGCTGGTGCATCGCCGATGCATCGCTGATGCATCGCCGATGCATCGTCGATGTATCGGCGATGCGGCGCTATCCTCCGACCCCACTTACTCGGACCCCATCTAGGAGGGCTCTAGTCAAGGAGATGCCTAGAGCACCTCGCCTTTGCTTTGGGGGCCAACGTAGACAAGCTATCATGCTGGCGGCGACTGGCTGAGCTGGCCGTATTCCTCTTCCTCCTCCTCCTTCTCCTCCCCCCTCCTTCTCGTCCCCTCCTTCTCGTCACCTCCTTCTCGTCGCCTCCTCCTTTTCGTCCCTTCCCCTCCCCCCCCTCCTGGTCCGTCCTCCTTCTCCTCCTCCTCCTTCTCCCGTCCTTCCTTTGGTGCACTGGCCTCCGCGGGCGCACGGGGGGAGCGCTGCCGCCTCAGCTGTCCACGCGCGGGCGAAAAACTCCCACGGGAAGGGGGGGCTCCCAGCGCCAGTGCTGGGTTCGCCCCGAGATGCTGACCAGGACGCCTCCCAGCAACTGGGGCAACGAAGAGTGACAAAAATATAGAAATTCTCGGATTCCGCGCTGGACCCCCCTCCCTGGTGCGCGGAGCGCGCCAGGGGCAGCGCCGGAGGCGCCGCCCGGGGGGTCCAGTGCGGATCCGAGAAATCCGCGCGGACCTCCGAGTCTTTCTGTTTATGTCATTCTTCGTTCCCCTAGCAACCCTAGGCAGTCCGTTCCCCTCCCCATCGGGGGTAATCGTAGCGCTTCCGGCACCGGGGGCCAGGGCGGCAGCAATGTCCTTCGCAGAGGCCCGCGAAAGATCCCCCAAACGGGCGCTCAGAGCCGGGCGTCCTACCTCAGATGGTTGGACAGAGTGGCGCCAGCTCTGAATGCAGGGGGCGTTTTCCAGTGTTGCTGGAGCGAGCGCTCCTCTGCCACTCACCGAGCGCGTTCCACTACTCGCAAAGTGCCTACTCGCAAGCGTCGGACAAGAAACACACATGTCTGCATCGCTGCAATGTATCGTCGCTCTCCCGCGGCGGATCCAGGCCATCTGCGAGTAGTTACTTTGCTTTGCGAGTAATGGAGCGCGCTCGTCTAGCCACGTCTCCACGTGTGCACTTGCGCTGATCCACTGATATCATTGTGGATTGTTCTTGCATGTCTTTGCGATTCCCCTTTTGAGTCCTTCTGTTTTCTTTTGAGATTTCGTTGGGCTTCCTTTGGCCTGAGTCTGGATGTTCTTAAAAACATCCCCCTTCAGATCCCTTTGAGTTTAGTTTAGGGGTCCTTCGGTGTTCCTGTCAGATTGCTGAGAGCTCTCGGCTGCCAGGGCGACAGCCGCGGGCCGTCGATTCATGTTGAATGCACGTGCCAACATATCGCTGTGGGGGTCGCGGCACGCGTCTGCACTAACCCTCCCTGGACTCTCTCTGTAGGGCCCTCCTGGGGGGCTCAATCTCTGCATTGGGATCGCAATAGGGATTGTCCATGTGATTACACGCTAGCCCGCATCTTCATAGGTCGCCGCGCCGTTTGTTCCGACGCACGCCCTGACGTCTTGGGGAGAGCGCCTCGGACACCAGGGACAAATCCGCCACGGACGCAGAGTTGACCGTGCCCTTCTCGCGGTGCCGGCTTCGTTTACTCAGGCGAGTTCAGAACACATGGCGCGGCGACATATTCTTCTGCGCCCAGTCGCCATCACGCATCAGTTGCTTCGTCGTCCTCACCAGACTCCGATGTTTCGCAGTGATCCTCCCCAATGGCTTCCTGTGGTTTGCCCTTCGCTGTCCCATGCATGCATTGCCGTCGGGGGCCGGAGAATGCGGCGGCCCTCGCGTCGCCACCTTTCGATAATCGATTACCCACTGTAAGCCAGGTCCCAGGGCGTCGCACCTATGTTTGCACTTTCTGTGTTGATTCATTGTGCCAACGATATCGCCGGGAGGCGCGCCCGACCTTAATTGTTTCTGCTACCGGCATCAACTGGGGAGTGCTGCCTAGGGCTGTGCTGTTGTCTCCTCCATCTTGGAGTTGTGATGTTCCAACTTACTTTAGCCGTGACTACCAGACATTATTCCGAGCACCAAGGAAGTACCGAAGCAGGAGGGTGTTCACGTGCCGGGACCTGGGAGGCGATGCTCGCTCGACACTTCGCTAGCGTGCTGGGCAGACATTGTATCGACAGGTTTCTTTGTGCTCGGAATTTTTGTTGGGGGGGCGTGGTCCTGAAGTATGCTAGGAGCAACAGGATTCTGGAGGAGGGAACTGAGGAGCAGGAACCGGAGGAGGAGGAGGAAAGAACCCCCTGAGCGGACCTCTTTCTGAGCCCCGCCGCCTACCTTGGGCCAGATCTTGCGGTGCATTGCGCACGGTACAGTCAGCCCGCACAGCAAGGATGGGCAACCTTCCCACGGGTACGCTTGCATCCTTACCTCCTCGGCCCATCCTTGGCCGCGTTCGTTGGCCGCGCCCCGCTCGAGAAGCCTCGGAATGGGCGTCCAAGGCCCTTGCCTTTGCCAGGAGGGCCGGCACTCACCACTGGGGCGAGGACCTCCAAAACGGGCCGCGGAGCCGCGGACTCTCGGCGGGGGTCCGTGCCCAGAGCTCCGCCGGCTTCACTTGGTCGGGCCGCCTGCCCCTGGGGAGGGACATCATGGCCAGTGCAAGAGGCTGTTTGTGTTGTTCTTGCTGTTGTCGTGAAAGTTGTGATTGTCGTAACGTTTGTGATTGTTGTCGTTGTTGGTGGTGTTGTTGTGGTTGTCGATATTGCTGTTGTTGTTGCTGCTGTTGTTGTTGCTGTTGTTCTTGTTGTTGTTGTTGAACTTTCATTTATGAAGAATAAGTATTGTTGATCCCCCCTCACCAGTGCATATTGCTTTTCTCAATAAAGTGTGCCCCTCGACGCTCGCACCCTTTTTTTGACAGGGAAAGTCTTGATGCTGAAACTGTGCCCCTGGCCCCCTGGATTACAACAACAACGGCTCCCGCCAAAGATTTCTTTCAAATTTACTCAGGACCCCCGCTCTCGCCTGAGACTTCCTCACACATTACTCAGGATCGGTGCTCCCGCCTGTGACTTTCTCGCAATTTAGTCAGGACCCCCGCTCCCATTTGAGATTGCCTCACAATCTACTCAGGAACGGCGCTCCCGCTTAAGACTTCCTCGCAATTGAACCAAAACTTCTTCGCAATTGAATCAAGACCCCCACTCCCGCCAGAGAACCCTTCACATTTCATTCAGGAATTGCGCTCTCGCCTGTGACTACCATGCAATGTATTCAGAAATCGCGCTTTCGACGCTCAGGAAACACGCTGCGCCAAGGACGCCGTCACAATTTACTTAGGAATCGCGCTCTCGCCATACTCAAGCATCCTGCTTGAATGTCCCACCCGCCCGACCCGCCCGTCAGGGGATCGCCCGCCCGTCGTGGGCTCCCGCCCGAGACTTCCTCAAGCGGCGTTTTCGCCCAGGACTTCCTCGAACGTTCACGCTCTTACCTTCCTGCTCCTCCTCCCTCTCTTTCCTCCCTTCTCCCTCCTCTCCTCCCTTCTCTCTCCCTCCTCTCTTCCCTCATCCTTATGCCTCTCTGCCCTATCCCCTCTCCCTCTTCTCCCTCCTCCCTTCTCCCTCCCCTCTCCTGCCTCCTCCCTCCCTCTTTCTTTATTTCTCTCTTCCCTCCCTCTCTCTTTCGTTCTCTTTCTTTACCTTCTTATATATATGTATATATCGTTCTCTCTCTCCCGCTCTCTTTCTCTTTCTGCCTCTAATAAACCGCCCCTCTGTTCGCTCCTTCTCTCCTGGCGTTTTCCCTCTTCCTTCGTCCCTCCCACTTCCCTTCCTCACACTCTCCCTCGTTCTCCCCCTCTTCTTTTTGCAGGGCCCACACCAAATTCAATGGCGGGCACATGTACGCCCACGAAGGATTGTCCGCCCGTTCAGGTTTGCCCGCCTGTCTAAGCCTGCCGCCCCCCGCAAAGAGACATAATCCCCCCCAAAGGGGGTGTGATCGAAGGCAAAAAGGGCGGGCAGGCGCGGAAACGAAGCCAACGCTGCAACAGGAGCACGAGTTGGACGAACCGAAGCAATGAAATGTGGTCAGCGCTGCAGTGGAAACTTGATTCGTTGGCTGACGCCGCACCGCCGAGCTTGTGGCGGCAGCAAGAGTAACAAACAGAGTTTGCGGAATGATGTTTGGGGAATCTTGGGGTTTCAGCTTCTTGGGATTTCGTCGGGGGCGGTTGGCGGATCGCCGCTCTGCTCTTGGGCTTCTATGGGCTGTCCTGGCAGCACTTTTGAGGCCTCTTGGGGGCCGCTTTGAGGCCTCTAGGAACTTCTTTTGGGCCTCTCGGAGGCCTCGCGGGAGCGTCTTGGGGGCCGATTGGCGCCTCCCCAGGTTCTTTTGGGACCGAGTGCTCGAATTGTTCATTCGGGTTCCCCCTCTTGGCCTCCTCTTGGGCCGTCCTAGGGCCCTCCTGGGTCGTTTTGGCTGGGGCCGCGTTGGGGCCGTATTGGAGCCTTTTGGAGGGCCTCTTGGGCTATTCTGGGTCGATCTTAGAGGCTTCTTGGGCCGCCGTGGGCATCGTTTTCCTGAGGGAATGGGACGCTTCTTTGCTTCTGGAGGGCCTCTGTGGACGCCTCTTGGTGGCTTCTTGGGGCGTCTTGGGGGCCTCTGGGACCGTATGGAGGCGATATTGGGCGTCTTGGGAGGAGGAGGAGGAGGAGGAGGAGGAGGAGGAGGAGGAAAAGGAAGAATTAGAAGAATCAGAGGAGGAGGAGGAAGAGGAGGAGGAGGACTCGTGCAGTCAAGACGTTGAAATAAGGACCGTTTGGGGTTCAGGAGGAGCTCCGAGTTTCGGGCCGTTCCTTCGACTTCTGTCTTGGAACCTGCATGTGGCCTAGGCCCGTCGTGGACAGAAAAGACGGCCCGTTCCTTATCATGCGTTCCTTGTGGTAGCGCGACGACTTCAGAGCCCCGAGTCATCAGGGGTAATTCGGGTCAGGGTTAACTCGGGGTCGTTTTTCGGGAATCCGAACCCGAGTTACCCTGGGCCCGAGCTACCCCGGATAATTCGGGCGTCCAGAGCCCCACATCATCAGGGGTAACTCGGGTCAGGGCTAACTCGGGTTCCTTTTTCGGGAATCCAAGCCCGAGTTACCCCGGACCCGAGTTACCCCGGATAACTCGGGCGCCCAACGACTGTAGCCCTCTTGGACCGTCCGGGGGTCCTTGTGGGGCCCTCTTGGTCCTTCCTGGGCACCCTGAGGCTTGCGGCTGGCACCTTTGCCCCCCGCCCTCCCACCCCTTCCAAGCCGGCCGGACCGGGCTCCCGGGGGAGGGGTTTGGGGAGGGGGAAGCATGTCACACGCCGTGACCCCCAGGGGTCGGCGGATCAGGAAGGACGAAAAGCGGCAGACTGGAGCTATCTCTTCAGCGGGAGCGCCATTCTGAAAGGATTGAATGCGTTCGTTCTGGCCAAATGAAGCACATACGACACATGGATTCAATCCAGGCCTCGGAACAAATTAGCGAACACATGCCACATTCATCCGTCAACCCGTCCCCCTCCCCCCAATGTTCAAAGTTGGCGGTGGGTCTGATGAGATGCGCTTCGACCGCAGTCTCCCCCGCGCGTGCCAACTTTGAGTTTGGGGGGGAGGGGGAGTGTTCAGTAATTGTTTCCCTCTACCGTCGCTTCGCTCACTCCGCCGGCCCATCTTGCGTCGCCGCTGTCGCTCGTCAGGATGCTGTTGTCAATGCGGTTGGGCGGTTGGGCGGCCGCCATTTTTTCGGAGGCGGCGGGTGGCGGGCAGAGGCCTCGCGGACCCTGGCTGGGCTCTCGCGGTTGACCTCTCAGGGGCCTTCGGGAGGCAGTGTTGAGGCCTCCTGGGGGCCGTGCTGGACATATGGCATAAATTATCAATTCGGCGGCGTCCTGCGTGTAAAAAAACTACGCCGGGGGGGGGAGGCCAGGACACCTCACCGGCGTCATCCGGGGGAGAGGAGAGAGTAGTTCTCATGCTGTGTAATTGTGGAGGGAGGAGGAAGGAGGAGAAACAGGCGGATGAGGAGGAGGAGGAGGAGGACGAGCAGAAAGCCCAGAGGCCTCTTGGATGCCGCTCGGAGTCTCTTCTGATCTCTTTCGGGAGTTCCTTGGGGTCCTCTTGAGGCGTCTTGGGGGTCCCCTGGCAGTCCGGCGGGGCCTTTTGAGGCGTCTTGGGTGCCTCTGGGGGGGCCTCTCGAAACCTCTTGGGGGTCTCGTGGGAGCCTGTTGGGGGCATCTTCGGGGCATCAGGGGCCTCTGTGGACCTGCTGGACATTTCTTCTGGGGGCATCGTGGGGGCCTCTTGAGAGCCTCGGGGGCCATCTTGGAGCCATCTTGAGGGGATCGATCGAAGGAGAGTTGGCCCGCTTACCTGCCTTATTGCTGCCATGTCGACCTTCTCCTTACCACCAGCCCCCGCAATTCTAGTTCCTCCTCCTCCTCCTCCTCCTTCTCCCCCTCACCTCACCCCCTCCTCTACTCTCTCGCCCCATCGTTCCTCCTCCCTCGCCTCACCCCGGTCCAGCCCGGTTGCGCCCCTGCGCGCGCGCCAGAGGCGTTGGGGAGAAGGTTGTCAAGGTCGGCGGCGAGGCTTTCGAGTCACGTAAGGACACGCCAGTGGGCCAGAAGGCATCCTCGCCGTCGTTGCCGCCATCGTCGTCGCTCACCACCTCCCCACTCCAAGCCCCCTCCTCGTCTGGGAGTTAGAAGGGGGATGAGGGGGAGGAGGGGGAGGAGGATAGAAGGAAGACGAGGAGCAGGGACAACAACAACGGAGGTGGGGGGGAAGAAGGAGGAGGCGGAAGCGGAACCATCATGGGACGAAGAGGAGAAGGAGGAGCAAGGAGGAGGAGCAGGGAGAGAAGGGGTGAAGGTGGAAGAGAACGAGGATGGGCAGGGAAAGGGGAAGGGGGAGAGGGCAGGGGGGGGGGGGGGGGCGCTCCCGGGCAGAGGGCACGCCGAGATGATCGACGGGCCCCGCAGGGCCGACTGACCCTGCTCCTCTTGGAAGAATTCGGCAGCAAATCATGGGAGCCGTGTGTACCATCGTAACTCCCCAATCAGTGCTTGCACTCGAGGGGTCCTAGCGGCAATTGAAAGGTTTGTCGAAAGTGCCCCGCCGATTTTGGTGGCCGGCTGGGTGCCCGGGCTCTGGGTTCCCGGGTTCTTGGTTATTGGTTCCCGGTCGATCTCTTTATCGATCAAACCATCCATTGATTGGGGTCTCCGTCTTTAGCATCGATTGCCGTCCGTCCATTAGCGTCTGGGGGTCGATGAGATACAGCGCTGATGGACCGTCGATTACCAGCGATTCGCGTCGAAGCGTCGATTTAGCGTCGATTTAGCGTCGACCAGCGTCGATTCGCAAGGGCAGACAAGATGGTATGGGAGGCTCCCACGAGTTGCCACCGAAGAGGAGTTGAGGGCGTCGCAGATGTGGCACAGGCGGCGTGAGACGTGTGGAGGATCCGAGTGCCTTTTCGCCTGTCCCGGCTTTGGGTTGGGTCGGGCACGGGCTCAGGGGGCGCGCCTCGTGGGGGGTCCCCCCTTCCACCCTCTCGCGGTCGTGCTCTGTCGGCGTGCAGGGGGAGGGGCGGGACGGGGCGGCCAGGAGGCGGGGGCAGGCTGGACGAGGAGCAGGGGGAGGGGCAGCACAGCAACAGCAGCAGGAGCGGGGGGAGGAGGCCCAGACTCTGGACCCCCTCGCGCTGTGACACACACAATCTATATATATATATATATATATATATGTATATATATACACATACATGTATATATACACATATATATACACATGTATGTATGTAGATATTTATATATATATACATATCTGTGAATGTATGTGTATATATATATATATATCGACGGGAGGTTTTTCGCAATGCTCGGCCTTTGGGGGCCCTTACCGTGCCTCGGGGCCGTCCACGAGCGACTCGGGCCGAAGAGCGGGTCCCGGGGAAGGGGTCCAGACATCTGGGGGTCGACGTTTCGGGGGCGGTGAAAAGGGGGGGATGACCAGGGGGGGGGATATCATGGCGGGGGCCATGATATTTCCCCAGCTTTCACGGCGCCCCGTCTTATTTCATTACGTCCCTGGCCCCCCCGCTGGGCCGCGCACGTGCCGCCGGTCATGATTTGCACCCACCCCTCTTGGACACACCCCTCTTGGTTGGCCGCTCCCGAGCGTTGCGACAAAGTCACGGCGTCGGGGCTCTGGCGAGGGAGGTATGAGGGAAGAGGGAACAGGGATCGCCAGCCTCGAAGCCCTCCTCCTCCTCCTCCTCCTCCTCCTCCTCCCCCTCCTCCCCCTCCTCCTCCCCCTCCTCTTCTTTCTTCCTCATCCTCCTCCTCCTCCTCCTCCTCCTCCTCATCTTCCTCCTCATCCTCCTCCTCCCCCTCCTCCTCCTCCTCCTCCTCCTCCTCCTATCCCTATCCTTAAGATTGACACGCCCAAAGGCGATGACAATCTCAGGGATGCGCCCTGAAAAACCAAGGGAATCCCTAAGATTGGCGTCGTGATGAGGCGATGCCCGGCTTAGGGATAGGGATATGTTCCAGGCTGGTAAGTATCTCACTTACGGCCACGTCATCACCGCGCATCGTGCAGATGCCAGTAATACCGGGGTGAAGGCCAGCAGTGGGCATACTAATGCACAGACCAGCATGCAGGCATTCAGCAAAAAAAAATCGTGTAAAGGACGATTGGTGCGCCCAATTCATAGTCGGGGTCACCTCCTCGGGTGCGCTGTAAAGCGCGCTCATCCGAGGGAGCAGGGTGGGACGAGGATGAGCAGCGTGACGAGGGAGGCCAAGGACGAGGAGGCCATGGAGGCAGGGGGACCTCAGAGCTCCTTCCTCTTGCCCCCGCCCCCCCGCTCAGCGTGGCCGGACTGGAGAGCTCGTGCGGGGGAGAGGAGCCCGAGGATCGAGAGGAGTGGGCGTGGGTCGCGAGGGCGCAGGACCGATCGAGGGTGCGGCCGCCAGGATTGAGGCGCAGGATCGACGGGGGGGGGGTACAGGGGGGGGATCGAGGGGAGTTCCCGAAGGAGGGCTGGCGGCGGCCCAAAAGTTGGGTGACGCGAGGGGGGTGGGCGTCCAAGAGAGGAGGAGGAGGAGGAGGAGGAACCAGAGGAGGAGGAGGAGGAGGACGAGGAGGAGGAACCGGAGGAGGAGGAGGAGTACAGTACAGTACTCAAGCCCTTCAAGACCATCCACTGACAGTTATGCTCTGGCTCGGGATAGGGCTCGATAGACATTGCTACGCCACCCATTTCGACAACTCGCCATGCTGGCAACCATGCTGCTACCGCAACACCTTACAATCTGCTGAATCTGCTGCACATACAACAGCTGCTCTGACAAACGAAGAGTAGAATACAGAGAGACAGGCAACACCACTGAAATACACCGCGCACGTGTGCGACATGACAAGGGACAAAAGATGCAACTGCGAGCGATACACATGCAAAGAGAAGATTACGAAGGTGCGGGCAGCAGGCTGATGGCCTGCAGGAAGCGGCCCAGCGCGAGGGCGTGGCCGCAGGTTTGACTCACTCACTTACTTCTTGCCCCCCCCTGCGTTTCCCGCCGAGCTGACGGGCCATGTTGTTGCGATGGGCTCGATTCATCTTCACGTCTCCTCCCATCCCCCGCAGAGCCTCGCTGATCAACTGTTCGACTGGAATCCAGAGCCCTGGGATTTGCATCATCTCTGACGGGACCTCCACTGGGCTGATCATGAGGCCTTTCACGGGGATGTTGGGATCCTCGGGGTTCTCCTGGAGGAGGAGGAGGAGGAGGAGGAGGAGGAGGAGGAGGAGGAGGAGGCTGGCGGCGGCCCACACCGGGGTGGTGCGAGGGGGGCGGGCGTCTCAGAACGAGGCACGGCTAGGACGTGTGCTCGTTTCTCGGCGGGAACCATCGAGGAGCATATTGGATTTGTGGAAGTCGATCAATGGAGAGGAAGCATGCTGCCAAAATAATTGTTGCATGTCTAAAGGATGTTTCAATCATGTGTTAAACATGTCGGGAACATGATTAAAACATGTTTAACACATGGTTCAAACATATGAAACACATATGTAACTCAATGTCAGGCAGGTTAGAGTGCCCAGTGCCATGGCATCCACAATACTGGATCATCGGTCATCGAGCAAGAGAAAAGATGCCAGCACGAAACCGAGCAATGCACGGGGAATGGACGTCCGAGCGATAGCAAGAGAAGGTCGCGGCGTCTAAGAAGGCGTGGCGGCTTCTTATAAGCCCGCCAGTAAGAAGGCCCTTGGCTTCTAAGTCAGGAGGACGATTATCGGGTTGGGAGGATGGGGCTGGGAGAAATGAGGATCTCCTTACCCGTAGGCGGACGAAGGTATTATCCATTGCATCCGGATGCTATCGCTCATGCCCTTCATCTTGCCAACCCTTCCCCCCGAACACGATTCTTGTTCTCCTCGCTCAGGAGCCCCTCCGTCTTCAAAGCAGGCCACCCCCTTTCGCGCCACCCCCTTGAGGGTACCGCCCATCGGGAGCCCATCTTGTGTTTCGGAAAGCGAAACAAGGAGGCTGGTTCAGTGTCGTAGATCTGTGTATCGGAAGCGCGCCCCGCTTTTACATCAAGACTACGCGTTGACTCACGAAGCTCAGACGCGTGGTGATCGCCATCAGTTGTTAGGCATCCATTGCCATTATTGCGGGGGAGAATACTGTGGGCATCGGGGAGGGTGTCAGCTTGCACCGTTGCCGAGCTACAGTCAACGCGCCTAGTAAGGACGCGCGTCTACATCTAGGGTACCCCTGTGTCCTTACCTCTGCGGCCTGTCTTTTGCCGTTTTCACTCGTCGCCCGCCGCCCAACACAATTCCCATTTTGGCTTCCAACGGTCGTGCGTCCTTGCCACCCGTCCTTAATACACGTTTTGATTGTACCCGAGGCCGTCAGCAAGGCTGCCTTGAGTAAGAGGCTGGCCGCTGGGAAGAAGGTGCGAGAGCTCCCAGTACCCGCGCGGAAACGACACAGTGCCCGATGCCTTGGGAAGGGAGGAGGAGTAGAAGGAGAAGAGGAGGAGGAGGAGGAGGAGGAGGAGCTCTCCTTTTTTTGCGTCTGCTGTCCTTCATTGCTTCGTCCCAGCCGGCGGCAACCTGCTCCAGGATCATTACTTTGATTAACCCCCCCAGGGCCGACGGGAGAGGATGGCTACGTCGGATGACATTCGTGCCGTCAGGGTCTCAGGGTCTCAGCAGCAGGAGGAGGGCGGAGGGCAGGTGGGAGATGGAGGAAGGCGTTTGGGCGCGACCCCTGCGCTGCAAGCCTCAAACACACTGGAAGGGGCAGACACAAAAGTGGCTCCTTTTTTGTGGGGTGGAGTCCTCTGCAAGTTTTGTTCCAGCAGTCTGGATAGCACGTGCCCTTGCCTGACTAATATTCACTGCGGGGGGCCGTACGTAACTCTCCGAACTTGGCCACGCGAGCTCCAGACGTGTAACATCCACAAGCCCTACCATAGAATCGTTCGAACAGTCGAATGTCACACAGTTGTGGTTTAGAGCACTCGCGTCCTGCACATGAACCCTCAGGAACTGTTGTCAATCGCCACGTGGGTTCTGTACAACCTGCACTTCTGGCGGTTCGGA